GTGTTTGCCAGGCTGGTCTCAAACTCCTGACCTCAGGTGATCCTCCTGACTTGGCCTCCCAAAGTGCTGGGATTACAAGCATGAGCCACTGCGCCTGGCCTCTACTTCCTTTCTTAAGTCATTCAGCAAATTATTGTAAAGCCCTTCTGATCTCTTGGGTTCTGTGATGGACGTGGAGCCATAGTGCCAAACAAGAACAACAAGGAGGTTTTATCCACTAGGCACTTTGCAGAATCCTGCAAAAATATTTGAGACCTGAAAATAATTAATGGGCCTCAAAACAGATTGTAAAATTGAAATTTTATTACTTTTCAATTAAATGTAATGTGAAGGATGTTAAAATTTGTCAAAATTATTAGTTCTCCTCTTTTTAGTAGTTCCATTTGTGAATATAACCTAGGAAGTAATCCTTGACCTGGAGAGGTAATTTATGTAATTATAAAGGTGGTCATCTTGTGGAGTAGAAATACTCAAAGGCCAACATATGGACAATAGGAATATGTCTATATGCTGTTATTAAATTTAGATTATAGAGTCATCTGTGTGGCATAATCACAAGGGCAATGCTTCTCTTCCCCTAATCATTTCCAGTGTGGTGTATAGACTTTTTAATACCCTTTGCTATGGTTATAAAAATGATTTTTATTTTATTTTTTAGACAGAATCTCACTTTGTCACCTAGAACGGAGTGCAGTGATGTGATCACGGCTCCCTGCTGTCTCAACTTCCGGGGCTGAAGTGATCTTCCCACCTTAGCCTTTCTAGTAGCAGGGACTACAAGTGTGTGCCACTAGGCCTGGCTAATCTTTTTTATTGTTGTTTTTTGAGATGGAGTCTTGCTCTGTTGCTGAGGCTGGAGTGCATTGGCTCAGTCTCGGCTCACTGCAACCTCTGCCTCATGGGTTTAAGCAATTATCTTGTCTAAGCCTCCTGAGGTGCGGGGATTACAGGTGCCACCACGCCCAACTCATTTTTGTCTTTTTAGTAGAGACAGGATTTCACCATATGGGCCAGGCTGGTCTTGAACTCCTGACCCAAGTGATCTGCCCATCTCGGCCTCCCAAAGTGCTAGGATTACAAACATGAGCCACTGTACCTGCCCCTATTTCTCTTTTTTGTGGAGAGAGGCTCTCACTCTGTTGCCTAGCCTGATCTCAAATTTATGAGCTCAAGCAATCCTCCCACCTTTGCTTTTGCCTCTGCCTCTGCAAGTGCTGGGATTACAGGTGCGAGCCACCAGGTCTGGCCATAAAAATGATTTGTAAAAGCATTAATAGGAATACCATTCTTTTCCTTGCCTTTTTTCTTGACACTTGCATTGTAGACATTCTTTAATGCCAGTAGATAGAAATCTACGTCTGTACCAGATGTGTTGCTTGATGTCAGTGAACCTTTTCTCCCATTTATAACTGATTAGTATGTCCTTAACTTTTTGCTTTTATAAATATTGCCACAGTATATATCTGTGTTTACATATGTGTCTGCACAGTGGTACATATATTCGTGTTTACCAGAAATGGGTTTGTACATTAAAAATTATGTGGTAGAAGTTGGCCCCCAAGAAGGTCACTGTGTCTACAATATTGTCTTTGCAATTTGGAAGCTTTGAGACTAGAAGTGTTTCTATGCATCCGTATTCAGGTGACAGTCTGACATGAGTCTATTTGATGGCAAAGCTTGATCTGACCTCCTGTTATGTGAAACCTTTATTATCTCCAGAGTGCGAATGTTTCTTCTTCTTTTTTTTTTTTTGAGACTGAGTTTCGCTCTTGTTACCCAGTCTGGAGTGCAATGGCGCGATCTCGGCTCACCACAACCTCCGCCTCCTGGGTTCAGGCAATTCTCCTGCCTCAGCCTCCTGAGTAGCTGGGATTACAGGCACGTGCCACCATGCCCAGCTAATTTTTTGTATTTTTAGTAGAGATGGGGTTTCACCATGTTGATCAGGATGGTCTCGATCTTTTGACCTCGTGATCCACCCGCCTTGGCCTCCCAAAGTGCTGGGATTACAGGCTTGAGCCACCGCGCCCGGCGAATGTTTCTTCTTACTGCAGAAATATTAATGTGGTTGATTATGGGGTGCCCCAGATCCCACTGAGCATATAAATAGTATTAGTATATTATTAGTACACTGATCCTTTTTGTAAGTATTATTAGTATGATTATATTGACCCTTTTTAAAATGAGAAAAACAATTTCAACATACTTGTCTTTATTGGATCTTCCCATCCCCACCCACCCCAATGAATGTGAAGTATTTTCTTCACAGTAAAATGTGTGAAATGTATTAATATTCAGGAAATGAATTAACCAATTTACTTGACGATTTTTTTTAAGGATTGTAATAAGAGTTATATTTTAGAGAGCATGAAAACACTCTTAAAATAGTCCAGATTTTGCTTGAAATCTCTTAGGAACATTTTTGTTCATGTTGTCTGACATGAAGTCCTTAATTTTTTTCTGTGATGGTAGAAGAAATCACCATATGTTTTAGTTAGTGGACTCACATTTTGGGGGAGTGTTGTACAACAAACAAGAACGAAGTATCCTGAAATTTGAGAATTTGCAATTCTGAATATAGAAAAAGTACATTATAAGAGTAATCTGGAAAATGATACCTAATAAAGAGGCATTAGCTTTATGTAGCCTTCACTGTTTAAATTACTATTACAGTTTTATTGGTAGAGGTGTACACGTTAAGTATCTGTTATGGGAAATGTTTAAGACCAGAAGAATTAATTTGGATTTTTTTCACATTTTCAGTATTTGTATTATGTTTACCGGGTGAGCATCCAAAATCTGAAATACCCTGTTAAGCGTTTTTTTTTTAAATATCGTGGTGGCTGTCAGGAAGTTCCAGGCAGAGAGTGGTGGCTTAATCATGCCTGTAATCCCAACACTGTGGGAGGTTGAGGCTGGCAGACTGCTTGAGCCCAGGAATTTAAGACCAGCCTGGGCAACATGGCAAGACTCTGTCTCTACAAAAGTACAAAAAATTAGCTGGGCATAGTGGTGCGTGCCTGTAGTCCCAGCTGCTTGAGAGGCTAAGGTTAGAGGGTTGCTAGAGCCTGGGAGGTCAAGGCTGCGGTGAGCCAAGCTGAGATTGGAACACTGCACTCCAGCATGAGTGATAGAGTAAGACCCTCTCTCAAAAAAAATTCAGCTTTTGGAGCATTTCAGATTTAGAAAGATTCAAAAATGCTTTCAGATTTTTGGATTAGGGAAACTCAACCTGTGTATATTTGAATTTGCACTGGTTTAAATGCCAATATAATGTGAGTGTTTAACTTAAGTATTACTGTATAGGTTTTTTCCCCTTACCCATTCATAACTTAATTACTGATTTAATTGTAATCCTGCTATATGTAGGTAGTGATTTTTCTTTGAACACCTGTAGTGCAGGAGTCGGCAAACTTTTCCTGGAACTAGATATTAAATATTTCAGGCTTTGCAGGTTATATCGTTTCTGTTTCAACTCCTCACTGCTTTAGCCCCAGAGTAACCATAGACAGTAATATAAATGATTATGCTATAAAACTTATTTCTAAAAACAGATTGTGGGCCAACACCTGCTTCAGGGGATTTCTTTTAGTGGGTTGATGAAAATGGGGGAGAGAGGAATTGGTATGGCTTCCTTTTGCAAATGGGATTTTTGTTTAGGCATTGTGGTTTTTTGAGATGGCCTATCTCTAGGTATGCTTAGAGTGCTTTTAAGAACCGTGCAATGCCAGCGATAGATCAATACATCTCACACTTTTACCTTTTTTTTTTTTTTTTTTTTTTTTTTGAGACGGAGTTTCGCCCTTGTTACCCAGGCTGGAGTGCAATGGCGCGATCTCGGCTCACCGCAACCTCCGCCTCCTGGGGTCAGGCAATTCTCCTGCCTCAGCCTCCTGAGTAGCTGGGATTACAGGCACGCACCAACATGCCCAGCTAATTTTTTGTATTTTTGGTAGAGACGGGGTTTCACCATGTTGACCAGGATGGTCTCGATCTCTTGACCTCGTGATCCACCCGCCTCGGCCTCCCAGAGTGCTGGGATTACAGGCTTGAGCCACCGTGCCCGGCCCGTTTTTTTTTTTTTTTGAGAGAGGGTCTCACTGTTGCCCGGGCTAGAGTGCAGTGGCGTGATCTCAGCTTATTGCAACTTCTGCCTCTTTAGTTCAAGTGATTCTTGTGCCTCAGCCTCTGAAGTAGCTGGGATTATAAAACACCTGGCTAAGTTTTATATTTTTAGTAGAGGTGGGGTTTCACCATGTTGGCCAGGTTGGTCTTGAATTCCCTAACTCAGGTGATCTGCCCGCCTTGATCTCCCAAAGTGCTGGGATTAAAGGTGTAAGTCACCATGGCTAGCTGAGACTTATTCCTTTTTATTTATTTATTTTTGTGATGGAATCTTGCTCTGTTGCCCAGGCTGGAGTGCAGTGACGCCATCTCGGCTCACTGCAGCCTCTGCTCCCTGGGTTCAGACAATTCTCCTGTCTCAGCCCCCGGAGAAGCTGGGACTACAGGTCTGCCACCATGCCCAGCTAATTTTTTTTGTATTTTTAGTAGAGATGGGGTTTCACCGCATTGGGCAGGCTGGTCTCGAACTCCTGATCTCGTGATCCAGCCACCTCGTTTGGCCTCCCAAAGTGCTGGGATTACAGGCATGAGCCACCGCTCTTGGCTGACTTTTTCCTTTTTATAGTGAGAGAGTACATGTTTGAGCTTTTTAAAAAATATAAGCAGTTTTTAAAATAGAAGCAAATAACTGTCCTAGTTATGATTTTACTTTGTTTTTCCGGTTTATCTTAGCTAAGTTACTTTATTTCTTTGGCTTATTTGCTTTATTAAAGGCTTGGAGCAACATGGAAGGTAAATTTAGGATGCCATGGCCAGTCATTATTACAGCTTTGGCATAATGTGATTGCATAAATGATTTTATTTTACATGAAATAAAATGTCCAATGGCAGCTCATGTATCATGGTGCTGAAATTTTTATTTAAAAAATTTTCAGACATGAAGAGGAGCATCGGCGGCGTGAGGAAGAAATGATCCGACACAGAGAACAGGAGGAACTGAGGCGACAGCAAGAGGGCTTTAAGCCAAACTACATGGAAAATGTAAGTAAACTACTAGTTAACTAAAATGATTTTATGTTTTTAGGTTTATGATGTATATTTAGAATTCTTTAGATTTTGGTTTATACAGTAGTCTATTTTCTAATCTTTCTAAATTTATTACGTTTGTTAAATTAGTGATTTTCTCAACCTCTTATGGGTGGTAAAGTAAAATTAGTTTCTGAAGATAATTATGTTTTATGAAATGGATGTTATATTTGTTCTGTTATTTTAATTGATCTTTAAAAATATATGCTATTAAATTAGAAATCTTGACATATACATCATTTCCACTTGACTGATTGTCACCATGTATTATTATCAAAACATCTTTATTTTGGAAGATTTCAAACATGTACAAAAGGATTCTAGTATGTGCTCATCATCCAACCATAACACTTTTCATCCTAAGTATAACCAATTTATTTCTCAATTTATTTTATTTAAAATACCTGACTTCATATAATTTTATTATTTTCAGTATGTATCTCTAGAAGATGAGGACTCCTTTTAAATATCTTTATTATATATTAAAAATGGTCAGTTTTTTCGTTTTAACTAATGAAAGCCCAGATTTGCACAGGTCTTAAATGTTTTTTTTTTACATTTGGTTTCTTTGAATTGGTTAATATATCCAGGCTCTTTTAGTCTATAGGTTTCCTCTTCCTGTCTTTAATTTTTTACTTAACAGTTTTCTTCTCTGTTTTTTCTTTCTTTTTTTTTTTTTTTGAAACGGAGTTTCACTCTTGTTACCCAGGCTGCGGTGCAATGGCGCGATCTCGGCTCACCGCAACCTCCGCCTCCTGGTTTCAGGCAATTCTCCTGCCTCAGCCTCCTGAGTAGCTGGGATTATAGGCACGCGCCACCATGCCCAGCTAATTTTTTATATTTTTAGTAGAGACGGGGTTTCACTATGTTGACCAGGTTGGTCTCGATCTCTCGACCTTGTGATCCACCTGCCTCGGCCTCCCAAAGTGCTGGGATTACAGGCTTGAGCCACCGCGCCCGGCCTGTTTTTTCTTTTTTGAGACAGAGTCTTGCTCTGTCGTGCAGGCTGGAGTGCAGTGGTGTGATCTTGGCTCACTGCAACCTCTGCCTCCCAGGTTCAAGCAATTCTCCTGTCTTAGCCTCCTGAGTAGCTTGGATTACAGGTCCCCGCCACCATGCCCTGCTAATTGCTGTATTTTTAGTAGAGATGGGGTTTCATCATGTTGGCCAGGCTGATCTTAAATACCTGACCTCAAGTGATCCACTCGCCTCAGCCTCCCAAAGTGCTTGGATTATAGGCATGAGCCACCATACTTGGTCCATATAAGCAAAAAAAAAAAAAAAAAAGAAAAAAGAAAGAAACGAAACCCAAAATGATATGTGTCCTGGATTTTGCTGATTACATTCTTGTAGTGATGTTTAACATGTTCCTTTATACCTGAATTTCCTGCAGACTGCTACTAGCTCAGAAGACTTGACCTGATCCAGGTTTTTGCTTTGGGGTTAGGATGGCGGGGCACACAGGGCTAGTTCAAATGTTAACATTTATTTTATTTTATTTTTTTCTGCTTTGAGACTTGAGTCTTGCTCTGTCACCAGGCAGGAGTGCAGTGGTGCAGTCTTGCTCACTGCAGCCTCATCCTCCTGGGTTCAAGTGATTCTCCTGCCTCAGTTTCCCAAGTGGCTGGGACTATAGGTATGCACCGCTATGCCCAGCTAATGTTTGTTTTTTTTTTTTTTTTTTTGAGACGGAGTTTCGCTCTTGTTACCCAGGCTGGAGTGCAATGGCGCGATCTCGGCTCACCGCAACCTCCGCCTCCTGGGCTCAGGCAATTCTCCTTCCTCAGCCTCCTGAGTAGCTGGGATTACAGGCACGTGCCACCATGCCCAGCTAATTTTTTTGTATCTTTAGTAGAGACGGGGTTTCACCATGTTGACCAGGATGGTCTCGATCTCTCGACCTCGTGATCCACCCGCCTCAGCCTCCCAAAGTGCTGGGATTACAGGCTTGAGCCACCGCGCCCGGCTTAATGTTTGTATTTTTAATAGTGATGGGTTTTCACCCTGTTGGTCAGGATGGTCTCGATATCTTGACCTCATGATCTGCCTGCCTCAGCCTCCCAAAGTTCTGGGATTACAGGCGTGAACCACCGTGCCCAGCTTAAAATTTATTTTATTTTATTTGTTTGAGAGAGTTTTGCTCTGTCATACAGGTTGGAGTGCGGTGGTGCAGTCTTGGTTCACTGCAACCCCGGGTTCAAATGATTCTTCTGCCTCAGCCTCCTGAGTAGCTGGGATTATAGATATGCACCACTATGCCTGGCTAATTTTTGTATTTTTAGTAGAGACGGGGTTTCACCATGTTGCCCAGGCTGGTATTGAGCTCCTGACCTCAGGTGATCTGTTCACCTTGGCCTCCCAAAGTGCTGGGATTACAGGTGTGACAGCAGACAGTTTTAACTTTGCTTTCCTGTCTTAAATATTTGGAAACATTTTCATAATTTAAAGTTGAATTACTAAAAATTTTTTCTTTAAAACATTTTCACGTTTAATTTATTTTAATAGTGGGCAAAATGATACAAATATCTAATGAACTTTGAGAAAAAAAGAATTAGAAATTTAAACATACTAATTGAGTATTAAAAAGATTTAATTGAGTATTAAAAAGATTAAAACGATTTCTTTTCTTTTCTTTTCTTTTTTTTTTTTTTTGAGACAGTTTCGCTCCTGTTGTACAGGCTGGAGTGCAATGGCATGATCTCCACTCATTGCAACCTCCGCCTTCTGGGTTCAAGCGATTGTCCTACCTCAGCCTCCCAAGTAGCTGGGATTACAGGTGTCCGCCACCACGCCCAGCTAATTTTGTATTTTTAGTAGAGATGGGATTTCAGTATGTTTGCCAAGCTGGTCTTGAACTCCTGACCTTGTGATCTACCCACTTCCATCTCCCAAAGTGCTGAGATTACAGGCGTGACCCACTGTGCCCGGCTGACATTTCTTTTTTTTTTTTTTGAGATGGAGTTTTGCTCTTGTTACCCAGGCTGGAGTGCAATGGCACGATCTTGGCTCACCGAAACCTCCGCCTCCTGGGTTCAAGCAATTCTCCTGCCTCAGCCTCCTGAGTAGCTGCGATTACAGGCACGTGCCACCATGCCCAGCTAATTTTTTTTTTTGTATTTTTAGTAGAGATGGGGTTTCACCATGTTGACCAGGATGGTCTCGATCTCTTGACCTCGTGTTCCACCCGCCTCGGCCTCCCAAAGTGCTGGGATTACAGGCTTGAGCCACCGTGCTCGGCCTCCGGCTGACATTTCTGAAATAGATCATCTGTTGTTTCACAAGATTATGCTCATAGAAAAGATTCGTGACAATATACCTTCTTTTCTAGTAGTTTCTTTAAAGTGTGTATTGCATACTTGAAGCATCATGATAAAATTAATTTGGCTAGAGTATAAGTTGACAAGCTATAGTCTGGGACCAATGCCTGTTTTTTTATTACTCCACTACAGATATATTGATGGTGTTTATGTTTTTAAAGGGTTATTGCAAAAAAGAAGAATATTAGAAATGATTTGTGACCCACAATAACTCAAAATATTTGCTTTCTGATGTTTTTATAGAGTCTGTGGAAACCTGGGCTGAAATATTTGTGATTTTTTTTTTTTTTTTTTTTTAAATTAGCATTTATGGTAGTTAGACCACCAGTTACTATGCTTTTAGCCTTTGGATTATCCATATTTCAAATAGTATGTAAATGAGGTATGATAATTGTGTAACAATGATTAGCGTTAGCTTTTTTTGTGATTAGAAATTTTATGAATTGGCACAAGATTTTTATTACTTTGGTGTCAGTTTTATTTGGTTCCAAGCTTCACAATGCTTCTTGTTACTATAAACTTATCAAGCACTAAAAGCATATGAATGAAAGCTCTATCTGTCTCAAATATTTTGTGTTAATAGGAAAACATTATGTTAAGAATGCATTGAGGCCTTTCTATCAGTTATTCTTCATTTACTTTGAAAATTGTCTTTGGAGAAAATGGTTAAACAATTTTAATGCTGTGTGTGTATGTGTATGTTTTTTTTTTTAAGCTTTGCAATTAGGCCCTCTTATGTGCTTTCTCTTATTTCACTGTTCAGTTTAAAGGGAGGAATCAAATGGTAAGTGTTCAGCTTGTCCAAGTAATGAGTAAAGTTTATTTTCTTCCTTAGTTTTAAGATGCTACCTCTCCCTTCCTACCTTCCTAAGAGAAATATTCCAACACAACTAAGAGTTATGGGGCTTTTAACTATAAAGTAAATATTGATTTATGTATTTCACATTTTAAATAATAATTTCATGTAACAAAGAATGGGGGAAAACACTTGTCATATCTGTTCATGTTTTTTTTTTTGTCATCCTTCAAGTTGATCGTAATTTTATGACATGAGAATATATTTTTAAGAGTTTCAAGGGTATAAGCTAGTACTTCAATTTCATTTTCCTTAGAAGACAACTTTTTGATAATTGCTGTTGTAACTATAAATTAAAGAATATTTTTCACTCATACAGGATAACATTCAACTGCCTTAAGAATGTATACATTTTTATAATATGTCTTAATTGCATTAAGGTTTCTCTAAGTGGAAATTTTCTGCTTAGCATGATTTTTGGACACATTAAAAGCTGTTATTCTGGAAGCAACGAGCATTTTATGAGATTGTTTTATAATTGTCTTGTGATTGTTTTCACATTAGGTTACTCCACCAACTGTAGATTCAGTAGTTTAAACACTTAAGTGCTACAACGTACCAGTCTTTTTTTTTTTTTTTTTGTGGGAAAAATTTGCATTGGAATATATGATAGATCTTAGTTTTAGTATTTTGTTGATGCAGTTTCTTGGAGTAAACATTGCTTCTTGGGAAAATGTTAATGTCATAAAAATATCCAAACATCCATCCTATTTTATTTAGCTTTAGTTATTGTATCATGTAGTTATGAAAAACTTGGGTTAGGAAAATTGGGGTGATGTTTA